ACACAAGGCAACCAGAGGACCAGGTATGGATTATTTTGGTCAAAGTGAGGAAAAAAATTACATTACCTAAGAGACTTCCGAAGATCAGTCTGTCAGGACCTCCAAATTTAACTAGGCAAAGCAGTTATTGGCAGATGGGATCCCCAGGACCAGCACCCAGCATGGAACCAGCATGTGGCCATTCCACTCAGGAGTCCGGGAGCTCTCTGCACGATGGATGGGAGCCCTTCTCCACCTCTTCAACTCAGCACCACAGATCAGCGTGGGCACACTTAATTTGCTGTTACAGACATTTCTTGAACTGGGTCCCAGTTTTCACTTGCAATTCCTGATGATGAATGGCCAAAGGGCTTTGAGGAATTAGAAGTATCAAGTAACGTTCTGAGAGCAGAACATTCAATAAGTTAAGAATATCTTAGTTTTCCAACACAGCCAGGTGCCTGTAACTGGGAAGGATGACCCACCTATCATCCCTCACAGCATTATGTTTCCATGATTTCACCAAATCAATAGTAACTAATGCTAATGATGGCCTCTCAACTGACAGCTTAACTCTGAGCTCATATAACATAGTGAGATTTTAATATTTAGGGCTGCAAGGTACTCGCAACGCTTCACAAGTTGCTTATGTTAACAACTGCCTACCTACTCCAACTTCACTAGAACACTGCCTTAGTCTGTAATTTTTGTCAGTGTTCATCAAAACTGCAAGCATGGAACTGCTGGGAAAAGCAGGTTCCAAGAAAACAAAACTCCAGCACAAATCAGAGCTAATTTGCAACAGGCTTAAAATTTAGGCTCTGGGAAAAGAGACCAAGAACATTTTTTTTTTTCAGCCAAGATATACAGGGTTTTCTTCCAGTTCAACAGTTTTCAAATCTCCTTATGCTGTACCAGCAGGATACCACCACTGCAGGACGGAAAGATACTAAAATAGAGTAATTTAAATAAAGGAATGTTGATCTAATTAGGCAATGCTGCAGACAGTGAGTTATGTTGGAAAAAATCCTGAAGTTTTACTTGCTCTTCAGTGCTCATCCATAATTCCTATTAACATAAGTATGTCACTAAATCTTTCATTGTAAGCAATGGCAGTAAATGGCTTCTGTATGCTTCAAAGCCAAAAGTAATAAACTTCATTTTGTTTTCCATTTAAAAAAATAATAACAGAGGCTTATGTGAGATGTGCACACACGTTTCGTTCCAGCTCAGTTCCAGTGGAATGTTATTCACAGCACCCATAGCTATTTCCTGTTTGAAATTTGTACCACTGAGAATCAGCAGTGTACACTGCTGCCTTCCTATTGTGATTCCTACACCATGCTGAATATTTCAACAAGCTGTAGGTTGCCTGTTCTACGTACTATCACTCGGGGGGTCCAAAACACCTAACAAGTTGTGCCTTAAAGAAAAAGAAATAGAGTAGAAAAGCCATAGGTTTAGAATGTCCTGGGAAGTGAGCAAAAGAGGTAAGGGCAGCACCCTAAGTCACTGCAACAGATTGCAACATATTAAGCATTTATGGTCACAAGATGAAGGAAAACTGATACAAACACAATTATTCTTAAACCCAAGCAGCTACCACAGATTTGCTAAGTGTAAGATGTGCTATTTGGGATTACAGAAGACGTCAGTTAAGTTGCACATAAGCATATACAAAGTAGTAAAATGAAAACACTTCAAAACAAACATATTAACCAAAATAAAACTCTAGTCTTTATATAAGCCTGTTTCCATACAAACTCTAAGTGCCCTTCACAGAAGTTAGGCAAAAACCGATTTCTTTTTTTCTTTCAAAAGAAAAGCAACATGAATTGAGGGTTGTAATAAAGCATTTCATAGCACATTTCACAACATCTTACTGGAAACATCAATTCAAAACAGTTTGCAGAGCAGAGAGATATGAGTTGGAATTCGAACTAAAAGATCATAAATCAGAGACAATGGAAAAATGAATTGCAGTACCTCACCACACTACGTAAACTTGCCTTTTGTCCATCTTTATTTAACTCATTTGCAGTCACCACAGCTATTTCAGATGAGAGCATTGCTGCATTAAAGAAATGTTCTGAGGAAAACCTAGGTACAGGTTATGGATTGATGGAGATATAAGTTGACAAAACACTGACTTCCACAATGGAGAAAAGTATAAAGGAGATGGAGTTACCGAGGCAACCCGACAGCACCACTTCAGTATCTAAAAGGAAGCTATAGGAAAGAAGGGGACAGACTCATTAACAGGGTCTGTGGTGACAGAAAAAGGGGAAATGGTTTCAAGCTTGAAGAGATTTAGATTAGATACAAGGAAAAATTTTTTTACTGTGAGGGTGGTGAGGCACTGGAACAGGTTGCCCAGAGGTGTGATGGATGCCGCCCAGTTCCAGGAGACATTCAGGGTCAGGCTGGATAGAGCTCTGAGCACCCTGAAGTATCTGTGGTGTCCCTGTTCATTGCAGGGCAGTTGGACTAGATGGCCTTCAGGCAGGGCTGACAGCACTGACCCACACCAGAGAAGACAGCCCTGCTGCTATTTCCCTATAAACTGGCTAATTCATCTCAATGTCTCAAGATTCAAGCCTCTCACAGCAAGACTGCACTAAGCTGCAGAGTGGAGGCCACAGCAATAGGAGCTCTCAGTTTCAGCTTGTGCCACTCTCATCCAGCAATCCAGTCCTTCTCCCCCATTACTCAGCTGGCTGTGCTGTGGTGGCAGAGCTGGATATGGAAATAATTTAAGAAGTCTGCAATATGACTGGAGATATTTGGCATGCTGTGACTAACCAGCATTTCAGTAACTTGCTGAGCAGGATTACCTTGGAGGATCTGTCAGGAAAAATAATGTTTCCCTAAAGGTTGAAATAAATTCTACTAAAAACAACAGCAACCATAAGCCAAGATCAAGACACTATTTCTACACTGCTATTAATTAAGCTATCCCTTGGTAGCTCTCTTTTATGCACTTTAGCCTTTATATCACAGAAGCTCTCTAATCTCACTCTGAAGAGCCAACTGGTCCACGCTGGTTCTCATCCATCCATAGAAAACTGCAGTCCTCAGAAGAGACTGTTTCCCTCTCCTCCTCCATAAGCTGATTTCCCAACCTGAGCCAAAACAAGCACGCACAAGCGTACTTACATGGTGCACAGCCCCTGAAATATGTGAGGCTCACTTCATTTCCAAGGTATATTTGTCATTAGCAGTACTTACCTGCAGGCATACAGCACAAGTTAAGGCAATACAATAAGATTTTCAATAACATTGTTGAAAATTAAGTTAAAATGGAAATTTAAGAAGAGATTGGTAAATCATGGAACAGGAAAAAGCTGAATGCATCATTTCAACATCATGGCTTTTCTTCATATTTTGATCCTCCCTCTGTTCTGAAAGGATATCCTTCCCTCTTTCTTCATGCTCTTTAAATAAAGGGCCCCGTTGGACTAATGTAATCCATATGTTTATTATTCCTTCGTGCTATTAGCAAGGGTCAGCTAAGCTGAATTACGACCCTATCACACATGCTTTCCTACTGTCTGTTACCTTTGTCACAGAAGGGCACATTTGGTGATAAATTAAGCAAAATGTGACAAGCATTATGTTTATTACATTTTCAAGAACTGGGTTTATGTATATTTTTGTTAGGTCAAAAGAATATTTTGATATTTAATAAAATGCTTTTAAAAATAATCAGAAATCAAATAAGTAAATGTAAGTGATGCATGTACACAAAGTATCAGCTATATGTTCAATACTGAATAGGCACAGAAACCATGCCTTCTCTTTTTCTTTTTTTCCAGAAAACAGACTTTTGTATTGGAAAGGAGTGGATCGAGAATCTCACGTGGGACTCTTCTTGTGTTTGTGGCATTAGAAAGGTCCCATTCCCCATGACCCAGTGTAGGAAGAGAGTAGTTGGTTCAGACTGCTCTCCAGGGACTGATGAATCAGATGAAGCAGAAACATGATGGGTACACTAAGGTGCATGGACATTAGCAGTAGGACTGCTAACAGTGACTTGGGGGAATTACGCAGCTTCAAACCAGAGTACCCTACAGTCCTCAAGGCAAAAACTAGCTGCACTCAGATACAGCTAAAAGGGGCAAGAAAGAGAGGAATGAGCTGCTGGTACAGTTGTGAGTAGCAGCAAGGCCCTTATCATTTCCATCATAAGCACAGTGCAACAGGTGCAACAGGAGTTGCTCACAGGCAGGCAGATCCAAAGAGCAGATCCAAAACTCAAGTGATAACAGTTTCTGGCCCAATGAAGGTACCTCGCCAAGCTTTTATATGTAATGGGCTGTTAGCTTCCCTGTGGCCATGTCATCTGTTAAACACCTCACCAAAGGAGCTATGTATGAAGCATACTGCTGTCTAAGATTTGCCAGAGCCGACAATGTAACACTGCCTAAAATACGAAGAAGTATTTGAATGCAGATATGCACAGATTCATCAATTTTGCATTATGCTGTGGTTGCACAATACTCTAAACACAAACCAACACACAAAAATCATCTAAAAGCAAAACAAAAGAAAAGCACTACTAATGGTTTCAAACTGAATAACATCACTGGCATGGGATTCACTTCCTTTCAGCATTCTTTTTCAAATCAGTGGGTGACACTCTTAAAAGCTGCAGCTCCCTTAACAGATGCCCTCTGAGCATTTGAAGCTTGAGAAGAAAACAACTGGTATCAAGCCCACGCCTATCAGGCATCAGACTCCTATTAGAAGCCTTACTAGCATTTAATTTACAGTTCTATCTAGTGGGTACATGTAAGCTCCACTACAAAGAGATTTAATTCACCTGCAATTTCAGACTGCAACACACTGGATACACAGACCAATGAAGAAGGACATGTACGGAATTGCAGAGCAAACTGTGAAGTTGCATTAACTTGGAAGCAAGAATGGCTACAGCATCCAAGCCAACTTGTGCTAACCACTGCAACAGCAAAATAACCAAGCAAACAATATGCAGCAAACTGCTGAAAGCTTGCCCGTACCTGAGATACAGAAGGTCGAGGGGGCAGCGCGGGTGGTGGTGGGGGCAGCCAGCCAGACCTCACAGCTGAACAGAGAAAATGAAAAACAAACATTAACTTAATTACAAATAAAACCAAAATTTATTTCCATAATTCACAGTGATGAGGCAGCATTCAACTTGTTAGTAACAGAAACCAAACTTGATCTTTACTGAGGAAACCCTGTTTGAAATAACTTTCTCCAATGCTTATAAAATGAGCAGTGATTTAATTATTGTAAAAAACCACAATGTTGTGATAAAAAGCAGAGATGAAAGACAGTCAGCCACAAGAGTCTTAACTAAAGAAGTCCAATTCCAGTTAAAAAACACCAGAAAAAGAGTATATGTGTCCTTGGTACTTTGTTCTTTGTCCTTAACATCACGGCCTTTTAAAAATGTGATGCTTAGTATCTAACGTGGGGTTAGAGTTCATTGAATTATAGAATGGCCTGAGTTAGAAGGGAGTTTAAAGACCATCCAGCTCCAGCCCCGCTACTGTAGGCTCCTAGTGGGGACACCTTTCACTAGGCCAGGCCACCCAGGATTCCATCCAACCTGGCTTTGAACACTTCCAGGGGATGGAGCACTCTCAGTTTCTCTGGGCAGTCTGTGCCAGTGCCTCACCACCATCTTATAAAGAATTTCATATCTGATCTAAATCTAACCTCTTCTATTTTAAAATCAATATCACTTATTCTACAAATCTTAGCAAAAGTCTCTCCCAGCTTTCTTAAAAGCTCCCTATACATACTGGAAGACCACAGTAAGGTCTCCCTGGAGCCTTCTCTTCTCCAGGCTAAACAAGCAAATCTCCCTCAGTCTTTCTTCACAGGAGAGGTGCTGCAGACCTCTGAGCACCTTCTTCATCCTCAGTTCCCTTCACTGAGTAGAGCAAACTTTGCAATGGAGCACAGCCTATAACGAAAACATCTGCCATAGAATTAGAAAACTAAAAGCCTAAACCTCAGGTGTTCAACTTTTTTTGCCTGTCCAGGTCACACTGAATGAACAGGAATCATCTTGGGCAACAAATACATAAGTTACTCCAAAAGTAATGCCTCCCATTTATTCCCATGAAAACTACAACAGATATGAGCACAATAACACTAATTGATAGAGCAAATTCTCAGCTACAGAACACTGTTCTTCAATACAGTCACCACCATGAGCATTGACATAACCGTGATTTTCAACACTGTCACCAGTTATGAACAGGAGCCTACATGCCACACTCATAACAATCTGCACCAGCATAGGTGACCCACTGTCACTGTCACCATTGCTGAAAAGCACCACTCACCACCTCACTGTGCTCACATCCACTGGTTTGTCTCCAGAAATGTTCAGTAAGCGCCACTGAATGTCAGTGGGTGCCATTTTTTCTGTATGGAGGACTTCAATTCCACTCCTGAGCTTCATACGCATTTCTAATGCAGACACAAGGTTCTGTGATTTCTAATTTTGTCAGATTTCCATGTCAGACTGCCCCTCTGCTGCCATCTATCACACTACAACAACATATATTGAAATATCAGTGGGAACGTCCAACCTCTACTCCCATACAACCAACATCTGCCTCAGATGTAATGGGACAACATCATAAAACAGGAGGCATTACTTTTGAAGAAACACTTGTAAAATATACAATGTTGTTAATATATGTTACAAAACATTTTAATTTCTAATATTTTTGTTAAAACATTAACAAAAAGGGAACAAAATCACAAAACTAGTGGGATACGCGGCCTTGTTTCTAAGAAACAAACACATCAGTCTGGTTGGATGGCAGTGGCTGCCATTCTTGATGGGCTCTCAATGGGTTCCACAGAGATTCTTGATGACATTTTATTCCTCCCATGCTTCACTCTCAGAAAACAGTTGCTCACAAATGTATGTAGTGCCAAAAAGCGATGACATGAATGAAGTGTGACTGTGATGTGAGGGGTATTTCTCTCTGCTAAGGTAGGGATTAAAAGAGTCCAGAAAAAAGATACGATCAGATTTTTGAGTTGAGTATCTGATTGCAACTCCATTGACTTCATTTGAAAACCTGCAGCCCATGTATTACATCAACTGAAAATGGTGTCGCAAACATAAATTGATAAATTTTTGCAATCTTGAAACCTATTCTCAAATTCTTTTATCAAACCAGAAAGCAAGGCTGCATATTCCTCGCTGTTCAGAACCCTGTGTTTAGCCAGTTGCCTTCCCCTGAGTCAGCACTGAACAGCACTGCCCTCGTGTCCTGGTTTCAGCTGACACCTTTAATAGCGCACTGCTGGCACCATGATGGTGTACGGTAGGGGGGGAGCTGCAATGTATTGCATCTGTATGCTGTTGTCAGCATACAGTGGAGGAATTCTAAAGGGAGAAGGAGAAGTAAGGGGAGGAAGATGAACCCTTGATGGTCAGTTCTAGGCCTCTTCAGCATAACACAATTTCAGCTTTTATTGTGAACTATTACAAAGGAAGGTAACAATCACAAAGGTCCAGCTGCAGTTTGGTTTCTTTAAAATACATAAAATCAATCATGGGAAAATACTACAGGATAGATGAGGTTTTCCAAAGTCAGCTGCACAGAGAAGGACTAGGCCAGAGAAATCATAAGGACTGATGGTGGTTTACCCTCCCCAGGTTCCTGTTGCACTGAGTGCTCAGCACTTGCACCGGTAAAGAAGCAAGACAGTCCATCTTGCACTGTTACTTGAATAGTAAAAAAAAATGCATTATTAAACATAGAAGTGTTTCCCACCACAATAATGCTAAAACAAGCAATTACATTTATACACTTGTTATTTCTATGTATATTTTAAAAAGCCACAAAGACCATTACAAGCCTTGTTACAGCACAGCCATTTACATATTTTATATACCAGACCTAAAAATGTCTACGTGGTTGAAAATACGAAGACAAAAAGTATTAACCATTAAGCTGGTGACATGAAAGTAAAAATGCGTGGATGAAATCATTGAGAACAGTCACATTGACTATAAACAGTTCTCAAGAGTTTTACGGCTTAGAGTGCATGGAGGTGATGGGTTGACAGTTGGACTCGATGACCATGGAGGTCTTTTCCAGTCTCAATGGTTCTATGATTGAATAGTATTCTGGGCCTTTACATCCTCTGTATCATCATCTCTTGAATCAAAATGAAGCCTAATATCACTGCAGACATTGGCAGAGATAGGACAATTACTACCCAGCTGAGGTTAACCAAGGGAGTCACTAACATACCTACAGGTGTGAAAGAGATCTAGAAGAAAAAAAAAACAACAAACAACACAGATTAAGCAATTACAATCCTTTCTCTTGCTTAAGTAGCTCCATCTATTAGATCACTGCAATACCAGCATGATGTCATCTCCACCACACTTTCCACCTCTCTTCCACACAATCAGTCTTCAGAAATGAACAGCATAGCAAGAAGGCTTCCTTTCTTTCAGTCTCAAATTCAGATCATTCTTTCCTTTATCTGAGCACTGGCAGTGCAGATACTGAGCTTTAACAGTTATTATTATTACACTAACAATATTTGAATACGAACACAATCCAACACAAACACAAATGCTCTGTAGGTCACTGCACTCTTCAACAGCAGTGAATTCAATGTTTATTTTCAGAAAATCTTGTGGGAGCTGTTATTCAATGAGTGCACCTTGCCTTCCCACCACTACTACTGCTTGTCACCGAGAGGAGATCACCTCTGCAGGCCAAACAGTTCAGGCAAGGAGCACGAACTATGCAAGCTGCTTAATGAGCATGGCACTATGCTGGGCGCTGCTGCCAAGATGGTCTGAGAAGCAAACTACAGGCAATACCTACAGCTGCTCCTCGTGCCCTGCCAAGAGTATGCAGCCCCTCCAGGCCCCACCTTTTCAAATCTGCTGGCTTATGCTTCAGCAGGCCCTCAAAAGTGCTATGGAAGCACTGAAAAGCAGCCTCAGCTTGAGCACTGCTCTAAAGATGTAGCACCTGCTGTCCTGCTCTCTAACTCTTCCAGCTCACTGATATACCTAGAAAAGCAGCAGGGAATGTTTCAAGCAGCGAGGCACTATCTATTCCCCTATATTCAGCACTAGTGAGGCCGCACCTCGAGTACTGTGTCCAGTTTTGGGCCCCTCACTGCAAGAAAGACATTGAGGCCCTGGAACGTGTTCAAAGAAGGGCAACAAAGCTGGTGAGGGGTCTGGAACACAGGCCATATGAGGAGAGGCTGAAGGAGCTGGGAATGTTCAGCCTGGAGAAGAGGAGGCTCAGGGGAGACCTTATTGCTCTCTATAACTTCCTGAAGGGAGGTTGTAGTGAGCTGGGGGTTGGCCTCTTCTCTCGTGTCATTAGTGATAGGACCAGAGGGAATGGCTTCAAGCTACGGCAGGGGAGATTCAGGCTGGACATGAGGAAGTATTACTTTTCAGAAAGGGTGGTCAGGCACTGGAATGGACTGCCCAGGGAGGTGGTGGAATCACCGACCCTGGGGGTGTTCAAGGAAAGGCTGGATGTTGTGTTGAGGGACATGGTTTAGTAGGAGCTATTGGGAATAGGTGAACGGTTGGACTGGGTGATCTTTTAGGTCTTTTCCAACCTTGGTGATTCTATGATTCTATGATTCTAAATCTAGCTGGAAAAGCACATCCTGATATGGTGGCAAAGCCCCATACACTGTGAAGCCCTGAAAGACTACTAGGACTAGCCCCCACCAAAAATTTCCAAGGGAAAAGATTTCTTTCCCATAAGATGGTCAAATTAAAAGCAGAACAAAACACTTCTTCAGCTTTCAAAACAGGCCATATATTAATTTAGCATTAAAGAAGTTATATGCTTACACCATGTGCATCTGACCCAGTTTCCTCTATTTAATCCTGCAAATTCTAACTTAAGCTATTCATGAAATATTCATAAAATTCCTGCTGTTGCAGAACATCTTTGGCCTGTTGTTAGAAGGAAATCATGCTTATGTGAGCACAATTGCTAGTTAGTTAAATTTGGAGGACTAATAACAACTTATTAAAAAAAAAACAAAACCACAACTATTTTCCACACAAGG